AAGCAGAAATATTTCTATATGAAATGACTGGATTAAAGCCATGTACAGATTATACTGCTTATCTAGAGATTAATGGAAATACTGCCACTGAAGTTCTAATTTGTAAGTTTTTATTTAATTGCTTTAATTTATGTTTTTTGTTTACTCTACTGAAGTTACCACTTCCAATGTACAAGATCTGCTAGGATCTACTGAAGGGAATGGATCAGTTAGTGTACAGTGTGTGTTTGTATCAGGATCAACTGCTGATGGATGTCATGTGATATTCACTGATACTAGTAATGGAAGAAATGAACACTTTAATATAACTGGATCAGGCAATACAATAGTATCAGTATCAACCAGTGGAGTATATAATGTAACAGCACATGACATTAGTGATGATGGAAGTATTGCTCCATGGACTTGTGTACAACCTAAACATGTATACATCATTATTCCTTCTGTTGTATATACCAGCAGTTACAGCACTGTACATAGTACTGGTAAGTATCGGTGAACAATATGTGTTTAATTCAAATATGACATAGTAGGCATGTTATCTTCATTGGAAGAACCCTCAGGTAAATAATTGCCTATATTTTAATTTTCTATTTCTTAGTTACAGTTTCGTCTTATCACACAGTTACTAGTACTCCTGCTGTTTCTGATACAGTTGTGTTAGTATATACTACAGTTAGTTCAGTGATTTTAATAAATGTATTGCTGATTCTAATGGTCATCACTATTTTGTATGTGAAAAAAAGAAAGAAAGGTATAGCCATTTTTAAGTAGGCTTTGTTTAAAGATAGGCATCCATTTTGTTGCATGAAACTTTGTACCAGGTTGCTTTGAGCTAGCTACTGGCAAATTTGTTCCCTCAAGTAGTAAGAACAAAGTGGTGTATAATCACAAAGTTTCATGCTCCCGTGGATGACTAAAAAGAGTATTTAAATTTATATTCTTAATTCATACAGGTTCTATTGATGTTACAGTCACTAATCCAGCTTATGGACAAAGTATGCCATCATAAAAATTTTTAATTGAATTATAACTATTTGTAGTTGAACGAACAACTAGACCTATACACCCATCAATTAATTCAGCATACAATACAGTTGTATATGAAAATATTGATGATAGTGCTAATAGATCTAATAATTAAATGAATCACACACTTCATTGTGGTCCAGTGAGTACTGAGTCTAGTGTCATTTTAACAATGAACTCATTTTTGTCATAAATTTTTTTCTATATATTATCTAAAATTCCATTTCTTAATAACTAAAGAAATAAAGGTGTCCATATTTTATACAGTGTGATATTGCTCTTTGAATGACCATCCAAGTTAATGTTAATAAAATCTTTCATCACCTTGCATGCATATTTGGGGCTTATTTCTTCTTACTAAATCTTACGAAGGTTATCTAATGCTTCTGGACAAGTTAGATAGTAGCGCATCCTACCGTGCATATGCATGCACAGCCAAGAATTATGCATCTCTGATACATGGCACTACCCAAATCAATGATTCAAGCCTGATGTCTATTTTGATAGATTCCTGACTAGGCTGACTGGCACCAATGTTGAATCATGTCTGTTGCTTGGCTGAATCAGTGCTGTACTCCAGCATGGTTGTATCGTGGCTGATCATTATGATTGTATCATGGCTAGGCTGATTGCTGTGCAGGCTGCTGATACAGGATTAACAGGAATGTATGACAGGCTGGGTCATAATTGAAACCAGTCATGATTCAGATTAACATGCTGCTGTGTACGTGTCCATCTAGATTTTTATGTGGCCACACCTATCCCGGATTGGCCCGTCAGGTAAAATGCACAGTTGGGTCTATGATACCATACAGGCCAAGATGAAACTTCATATCTTCTTTATAATTCTCTTCAATATTTTGAATAAAGTACATAGCGCTAGTAAGTTTTGAATCATAGTAAATTCTTAATGACCGTCTATCTTTCTAGATATAACAGTTGCTCCTACCCCTGTTACCGTTCCTATTTATGAGACAGCAAATTTTACTTGTGAAGGAACTGGCAATGAACTGAATTGGCTATTAGGGAGCTCTCCTCTAACAGAGTCAGTTAAACAACAAAGAGATATATCCTTTACTGATCCTGGTGGTGGTCCTGGTAACTTATCATCAGTACTTACTATCACTGGGTTACCTGTTAATGATGGAATTAGTATTGGATGTCAGATAATATCATATTCACCTTTTAAACAACATCTTATTGGTGGTACACTGACAATAAGAGGTTAGTTTATAGATATGAATAATTATTTGTGGGACTTTTGTTGGAATTTGTGAAAATTTAAAGCAATGAGAAACTTATGAAATTGCTAAATTAAAGTTCAGCAAATAATATTTTATGGGATATCATCTACCTTATTTAGGAATGTCACCAGTTGAAGACATACAATGGTGTAACAATAACCAGTTATTGTCATGGTTTCCTCCTTCTTTCTATTCTGATGATGTATTTTCAGGAGGTATTGCTTATACTACATATAATGTACTAGTGAATGGTATCAGTTATGTCAATACTACTGATACTAGTGTATGGATGAATACTACTGGATTACCTTGTACTAATGTTACTGTCAGTATTACTGCATCTATTGGACAATATGTATCACAAGGGAGAGAATATACTTTTAATATCACTGCAAGTAAGTATAATTTAAAAAATAAAATTATTTATTGTGGCTAGATTATACTATCTATAATGAAAGTGTCACAAAGACTCTTAATGAGCCAAGCCAGACATTTGACGTTAATCTTATTACCTCAGTAAGAATTATTACTTTATTACTTCTGTAACTATGTGCTGATGTTATTCCACTAGATACAAAGTACTCAATCATGCAAGTATACAATAGTTGGTAGAGTTGATCCTGATGAAGGAATAGAAGACAACACTCAGAGAGTTGAAGCAGAAATATTTCTATATGAAATGACTGGATTAAAGCCATGTACAGATTATACTGCTTATCTAGAGATTAATGGAAATACTGCCACTGAAGTTCTAATTTGTAAGTTTTTATTTAATTGCTTTAATTTATGTTTTTTGTTTACTCTACTGAAGTTACCACTTCCA